CATTATATCTCAAGCACGACATATTTTAATCATAACATTATCGTAAATTCGTAATCATTAACGGGGTTAGAATGGTCGTCTTTGTCTGTGCAGTACCAGATCTTGATTAATCGATCAATAGATCATAAACATATGATTCATAAAAAAAAAAAGTAGAGAAAGAAACAAAGAATCTTTGAAAGTTCTCAACGTCTTGATTTCATGGAACCATTTTACTTTGTAAAGAGGGCCCGATGACATAAACTTTGGCACATAGCTTTCAGCTGGCATGCATGGACAATGAGTAAACTTTTGTCCCTGCTGCACAGCCACACATAAACAAACTTCATATATGTACGGAAATCACACGAAAGGATTAAACAAAACGTTTGGAAATTTAAAAATATCCCTTTGAATTATTAAGATGGTGATGCTTAAGGTAAAGAACACATTATACTGTTTTAACGACATCGTTTTCTACGGTTTCTTTATCTTCTAAGCAGAATTAATATTAAACAACAGAGTTGTTCAAGTAATAAACAGTTTGATATCGCTTAAATAAAATCTCAGGTTTAAATATTATGTATGCAGAAAATCTCCGCTGAAAGATTCACTTACCAAAATCAGGTACGCACTATTCGGATTAGTCAGAATGAAACTTTAAAATCGAGAGTAAAAAACAAGGCTTAAATATACAAAAGGTGCTTATACCCGTTTTTTCAGTTCAGTCCATAACTTTTTTTCGTTTCAGTTTGGTACCTAACGTTTCATTCTGTAACTCAAAATAGGTCACGCTGTGACGGACCGTTAATTTTGGCCGTTAACCCATTAAAAATACCACGTGGAACATTTTTTAATATTAAAAAATAATTTTGTAAATAAAAAAATTAAAATGAAAAAATAAATGTTTTAATTGGGGAAAACCAATTACCTTGCCTCCCTCCCCCGATTTTTTCTCTGTGTGTATCCCCCAAAGGGCGAAGCTCTTCGCCCTCCAATCAAGTATCTCCGACCGTCGTGAAGGTGTCCCGTCATCGCTAACGACCTCAACAACGATTGGTGACCCTTGCATATTCCTCTCATAATCTTAATATGTAGCAATCCACACCTGCACCCAAAACATATTGAAAATGAAAATGAAAGTGAAAAAAAAAATAACAAAAGAAAAGAGAAATCAAGTAAAAATGTCACCTTTTTCTCGGTTTTTAAAAGGAGATAAAAGGGTTCTAGCTTTGAAACAAAATTATTGCTCCCCCTCATTTGCATTTTAAATTCCTCACACCTACAACTATTTTCTGTGACTAGAATTGTTAGTATATATGCTAAAGAAACCAAAGATGATGGGTGGATGGATTATTCAATATGCATGTTGAATCATAGTGCAAAAAAGAATGGAGGAAAAACGAGAGTGAACAACATTCCGCTTAATCTTAGTTTCTTCTTCCTCTTCTTCTTCTCCTCCTCCTCCTCTTGCGTAGTTGTTAAGTATGTTTTGTTGTCAGGCCAGTTTTCTTCTTGCAAAGTTGAATCCTTCAACGACATATAACTCAGATGGTCCTAACCCAGGAGGAGACGTAATATTTACAGACGATGTAAGCTTTGAGAAAGGTATCAATGAAATCTTCAAGAAATCCCCTAAGAAAGCTATCAATTAGAACAAAAGCATATAAAGCAACATAAATTTCAACAAAATGAAGCGAACCAATTCCAAAACTGATAAAATGAAGCGAAACCATTTAAAAAAAAGAAGCTCTTCTTGCAATTAAAACGCGACAACTGCCAAATCAGGCGATTCGAGTGTCGAGGTTAGGTCGCCAATCGTTGCTGAGGTCGATAGCGGCGACAGGGCACCTCCACCATGGTCGGAGATACCTGATCGGAGGGCGAATAGTTTCGCCCTTTTGGAGATACACACTAAAAATCGGGGGAAGCCTAGGTAATTGGTTTTCCCCAATAAAGCTTTTTTTTTCATTTTAATTTATTTTTTTATTTGTAAAATTATTTTTAATAGTAAAAAATATTACACGTGACACTTTTAATGGGTTAACGGCTAAAATTAACGGTCCTTCACAGCGTAATATATTTTGAGTTACAGAATAAAATATTAAACATCAAACTAAAACAAAAAAACATTATACACTTAACTAAAAAAAACAGATATACTTTGGATACTTTTTGTATATTTAAACAAAAAAACAACAATTAATATTAACATAAATAAAGTATAATAAAGATTGAAGTTCTGCAGTAACGCTTAGGGCTGTAAATGAAATGAGACAGATTATGAGTTATTCGAGATCGATTCGCGATCGACTCGTTCAAGGCTCGATAAATACTCGAATCGAATGGACTCGACACGAGCTTGAGCTCGACTCGAGTTCTTAACGAGCTGAAACGAACTACTCGATATTCGACTCGAAAAGCTCTTGAGCAGCTCGAAAATATAATATATTAAGATTTTATTTAAAATAAATTAATTAATATTAATATTAATATTTATGTATTGATTTTTTTTTAAAAATACAGTAAGATTTCATGTATTTAAGGTTCATGTTCGAGTTCGAGTTTGAAGCTTTAATCGAGTTAATTTTAAGAATTTATTTTTTTCATTTCAAGCCTTTTTGAGCTACTCACGAGCTTCAATTCAGTATTTCGACTTCGAGTCGAGCTTAAAAATTTTAAGCTCGTGAGTTTTTGAGTCGAGGCGAGCTCAATTTCAAAATTTTTGAGTCGAACTCAACAATACTCGAGCTCGAGCTTGACTCAGCTCGTTTACACCCTAGTACTGTCAATTTACAACTGCAGACTGCAAAGAAACGGGCCGGGTGCCCGGCCGACGGCGGGGAAATTGTCCTCCTGTCACAATCTGTCTCTTTTCTCTCTCTCTTTTTTAACCGTACGAAAAAATAAATATAATTGTAATAGGGCGAGACCCGATGACTTAGACCTTTTTGACAACGACTGTCGGCATTCGCATTTTCTGCCACGTGTTTCTACGACAACCAATGATAATGTTTTTTCTCAACGAACCTATGTATTAGACTATTAGTTGTCTGTTCTCTGCCCCACGGTAAGACTCTTGCTCCTCACTTTTTAATATGCATGCAATCTTTCTTTGCATTCATAAATGAATGATTTAAGCTGTTTATTTGCTACCATTTGATAATAAAAGTTTCAATATTATATAATTGCTGGTATTTAAATTTAAAATCTATAAAGATAATAATCATTGTTATAACCCTCAAATTCGTTTGATTTGTACAGATATTTTATTATATTTTTGCTTGCTTTTTGATGTATATATAATATAATTGCTATATAGATTATAAAGAAATTTCGAGTCAAGTTTACGAATGTATGAAGTCGAGTTGATCGAGTTTATGTTTAAAATTAATTATTAATATTTATTCGACTAAGTTCTAAACTTTTTATAACCATATATGATATACATATATATTTCTTCATATTTTTTTCATATGTGATATACATATATCATGCAAAGTTGAGTAACTTGTCTCGAACTTAAAAATCAATCCGTTAATTACTTAAAATTTTGAGTTATTCGAGTTATTTGGGTCATGTTTTATAACTCAATTCAAATTTAATTTTTTCCGAGTCAATTTTATAAAATTACAATTTGAGCCAAGTCGAGTTGAGATTTTTAGCATCGATTTGAGTAAAAAAATCAATTATTTTATATCGAGTTATGTTTTGTTGACCCCTACTTGCAATCACCATATCTTCCTTTCGTACCATTCTTTTATTAATATATATTGTTAAAAGACGATGAGAAACAAGATGATCGTATAATAGAATAGGGATTAATTTTTTTTAAATATCCTATAGAAAACATGGATAGAAGAGGAAGATTTCATTAGTGTTAAAAATAGAAGAATAAAAATAATCCTCGTAAGTAATCTGACTTTTAATCCTTGGTCTCAATCTTAGTATCTATTTAGGTTAGGCATGTCTTATAAATATACATGTAAAGATGACAGAGGATGGAGCGGACATCAACTGTTCTTAAAAAGAAAGCCTCATAGTGGGGGTTACGATTATGTGGGTTGAGGGCTATTTTTGTAAATATGTATAAGGATTTATTTATTATAAAGGGATATAACCAAAACCTATGATAGTTTGAATGAAAAACCTAGCGTCGCCTTGGGCACCGAGGACGTAAGTACATTACTGAACCTCGTTAAAATTCTTGTGTTCTTTTCGTTTCCTTTACCCGATTATTCAACAATTTATATATATAAGGATAAATTATATACTAAATTTTGAATTTTGTTTCAATTATATCTGTGTAAACAAATTTTCGTCCATATGTAATATTATATATATATATATATTACTTAAATAATATTTATTTTCTTTCTTTTACAAATTCCAGGACCCGAACCGGTCCATTGAGCAACCCGAGCACCCGAACACCTCTTCTCAAACCAACAATTTCGGTGTCCGATCTACCTAAATATCATTTTAAAATGATCGGTGGCGACTCTAACCCATTTATTTAAGTCGAAGCTCAATTTCGGGCCCAACCCGAAATGCGATCGCGACAATACACATTGGATCATTAAATGATCATTACCATTCGGATCAAAATGGCATCGATTTGGTGAGTTATCTAAGTCGACAGCCACCAACCACGCCAATAGCCATCTGCCATGTCATCGTGTCGTTAACGATTTAACGATTCAGTAGTATAATTGAAACAAAAAATCAAATCTCAGTATTATAATTGAAAAAATTGAAAGCTCAGTGGTATAAACAATACGATACCTAAAGTTCAATGCTATCTGATGTAATTTACCCTTTATAAAAATACTTATTTCATTAAAAAGGAAATTTATTTAATCGAAATCTACTAAAACTGGATTTTCTACCTTTTAACCAATTAAAATTTTTCTTTAAATCGTATGGTATCGGTATCGTACATAAATTCGACTAGAAGAAGGGTGTGGGAACTTGGAACCATGACATGTAGCAATGACTTTCATTGTAGTGCAAGTCCAACGATGGGGTATTGGAGGTTCAATTCGACCCGATCGAGTCGGATATTTTTAAAAAAAAATCAGATTCGGGTCGGGTTTTTTTAATGTGATGTTCGGGTTTTAGTTTATGGTGAAAATACTCGACCCGTCCCGAAAAATATATAATTTTACCTTATATATTTAAGAATAATTACAATAATAGCCCTTTATATATTATTTTTTTCAATTAAGTTATTATTTTTATTGAATAAAAATATTTTTTATTATTTCGGGTCGGATTGAGTTTTTAAGTTATATATCGGGTAGGGTTCGGATCGAGTGAAAACTTGTTTTGGTCCGGTCTCGGGTGGAGGACTCCTTGTTATCGGGTAGGGTCGGGTGGACAAAAAACTCGACCCATGCCCATCCCTAGGTATTAGGGTTGTTTCTTTGGTACGACTTTTGAAAGCTTGACCGACCTCTTAAAATAATAATTATATTAAAATCAAATAATGTCATCTAGATATAATAAGATTCCCCTTCGAATATATTGCCAAAGAATAATCATAACGAAATGAAAATTCATGCTTGCAATTATTAAAACAAATGTGGAGATCGATACGGTCCATATCTTTTTATTTAATGTATAGTCTTGAAGTGGAGAGGAAGATAGTGACTTTGGTTTAATTTTATATATCTATATGACTTGGTTTAGTTAAAAAGTCACATCCATAATCTTATCGGAATCCAAATACATGCAAGAAAAGGGCTCAACTTGCTCATAATGGAAACCATAATTAAATTAATACTTCTAGCTAGTGCATGTACATGTCCGTTAGCCACGTGGCCATACTTTGGGGAAATAAATTGTACTTGAAATTTATTTATTTTTTGGGTAATACCAAATAGTCAATTATATGCTTTGCATGATAGGACCAAGTTGTATACATTAATTTAATAATTTGAACATGCAAGAGTTAGTTAAGTCATCGTTGATTTCTCCTTTTGGCTTTTGCCAAATAGTTGGTTTATTATTAACTTTGATATGATAGATTAACATAAGTTAATCTATCATATCAAAATTTTTTTAAATTATCGTATATTTTAGATACATTTTTATATTTTTTTATTGATAATCTATTTCGTACATTAAGATTTTATAAGTTAATTGCCTCTTAGAATTTTAGAAGTCCAACATCTAACACAAAAACATATATTCGTCTCTGTCTCTCTAACAACATCTATGTGAGATGAGTCAAACATTAAGGGGGGAAAACTGAAGTCTCTTGATTATTCGAGGTTTGTCATTTTCAAGGATGAAATTTTTTAAAAATAATATCATTTATGGATTATTATTTTAAATAAATATTTTTATAAAAGGTTAAATTACCAAAATTTGAAGAGCTTAAAAATAACTATAAAAGAAGATTAATTATATTAAAATAAATACTATAAAATGTATCATATAGAGATTATTTTACTAAAAATATATTAATAATTTCAATCATACAAACTATAAAAAGAATACATTAAAGTTAAACAAAATAATATTTTAGAATGTAAACATGTGCATAAAATAAGATAAGATAAAACAGTCTGTTGGACAAGGTGGTGGCTGTCCTATTAATTGGGCTTAGGGACATGTCCATAATTTTAAATAATATATATATTTATATCACAAGGCAATACAAGTCAAAATCTTTAAATGATTTTGTCATATCGATAGTTTTGAAAACTTTGCAATTAGGCCCCCAAAAACACACTTAACTTCTATCAAACCAAAAGAAAGGGGCTATATGTGCCCACTTGTGGGCTGTGGGCCCTTGATGAGGCTCAACATGACCTGGAGACTAGACATCCATCACTAAATCCAATCTTTGGACTAATAGCCGTTGATCTTATTAATCACATCTTCATCAATTTGACGATGCTGATGTGTCTACATCTCAATCAAGATAACAATATTTAAATCAATCTTATTAAGCATTCACCATTAATATTACCTCACGTAACCGTTAGCACGAACCAAGTAGTTTGTGGTAAAGAAATTATTGATATTACGAATTCTAGTATCATATATATCAGGTCGAGTTGAATTTTTAAGTTTTATATCAGGTCGGATTCGGATCGGCTAAAAACATGTTTTGGTCGGGTCTCAAGTGAAGACTCCTTGTTCTCGGGTCGAATGGACAAAATACCCGACCTATACCCATCTCTAGATATTAGGGTTGTTTCTTTGGTACGACCTTTGAAATCTTCACCGATCTCTTAAAATAATAATTATATTAAAATCAAATAATGTCATCTAGATATAATAAGATTCCCCGTCGAATATATTGCCAAAGAATAATCATAACGAAATGAAAATTCATACTTGCAATTATTAAAACAAATGTGGGAGATCGATACGGTCCATATCTTTTTATTTACTGTATAGTCTTGAAGTGGAGAGGAAGATAGTGACTTTGGTTTAATTTTATATATCTATATGACTTGGTTTACCCCTTACCCATTACATATGGGAATAGGATTTTATTGTTGTTGTTGTATATGCCTTAATTTAGTTAAAAAGTCACATCCATAATCTTATCGGAATCCAAATACGTACAAGAAAAGGGCTCAACTTGCTGATAATGGAAACCATAATTAAATTAATACTTCTAGCTACACGTGGCCATACTTTGGGGAAATAAATTGTACCTTGAAATTTATTTAATTTTTGGGTAATACCAAATTGTCAATTATATGCTTTGCATGATAGGACCAAGTTGTACAAATTAATTTAATAATTTGAATAATTTGAACATGCAAGAGTTAGTTAAGTCATTGTTGATTTCTCCTTTTTGGCTTTTGCCAAAGAGTTGGTTATTAATAAACTTTGATATGATAGATTATTTAAAACATAAAATGACATAAAAACACAATATTCATATATAGGTTATAAGGACAGTTGGGCGGTCATTTTTCTAAAATTTTTCAATTATCGTATATTTTAGATATGTTTTTGTATTTTTTTATTAATAATCTATTTCGTATATTAAAATTTTATAAGTTCATTGCCTCTTAGAATTTTAGAAGTCCAACATCTAACACAAAATCATATGTCTGTCTCTGTCTCTCTAACAACATCTATGTGAGATGCGTCAAACATTAAGAAAAATAAAAGCTGAAGTCTCTTGATTATTCGAGGTTTGTCATTTTTAAGGATGTGTATGGATGAACATTTTTAAAAATAATATCATTTGTGGATTATTATTTTAAATAAATATTTTTTATAAAAGGTTAAATTACCAAAATTTGAAGAGCTTAAAAATAACTATAAAAGAAGATTAATTATATTAAAATAAATACTATAAAATGTATCATATAGAGATTATTTTATTAATAAAAATATATAAAAAAAATATATACATTAAAGTTAAACAAAATAATATTTTAGAATGTAAACATGTGCATAAAATAAAATAAGATAAAAGAGCCTCGGCTGTTGGAACAAGGTGTGTTGTTTCTTGCTGATCAGGAACATTCTAGCAAATGCAGGGTCACTTTGGGTGGCATGGATCAAAGGGTATGCTCTAAAGGGGACTGCTTTTTGGGAAGCCAATCCCAAGCCTCAGCTTAGCTGGATCTTGAGAAAGCTCCTTAAACTTAAAAATGAAGCTGCAGATTTATTTGGTAGTGTGGTGGACTGGAACATAGTTAAAAGTAAATGGGTGTGGGAGAAGCTTAGAGACAAGAGGGAGAAGGTCAAATGGGAGCACCTAATCTGATTTCCCTTACATGTTCCAAGAATGTCAATTGTTGCTTAGATGGCTATCTTGAACAGGCTTCCAACCAAGGACAGGCTCATCAATATGGGAATGGACTTGAATGGACTTTGTGATCTCTGCAATACTGAATTAGAAGACAGGGACCATCTCTTCAATGGCTGTGCTTTTGTGAGCGGTATTTGGAGAAAGATCTTGCAGACCTGCAGAATTCCCCACAGGAATCTGTGTTGGAGTGACTTTCTGGATTGGGTAGCAAACAATTTCAGGGGTAAATCCTTGCTAGTTAGTATTTTGAAACTAGCTTGGATTAGCTTGGTATACTTCGTATGGGAAGAACGAAATTTCAGGCGTTTTAGAGACTGTTCTCGGTCTGTTGATAATATTTTTGACAGTATTAGAAGATCTGTTGGTGATAGGATAAATGGTTGCAATATTAACAAGGCTGACAGTGTTAATCTAAAGCTTTGCCTGGAATGGAACATTGGCTAGTTCTGGCTGCTGCTGTAATGTTGTGGACTGCCTGTCATTCCCTTTCTTGTATTTTGCTTTCTTTGCTTCTGCCTTTGTCTATTTTGGCTAATTGTTTGTTATGGTTGTTACTTAGGTTGATAGCAAGGGCCTGGTTTTTTATTGACTTCTGGTAGTTTGTACTTATTGTAGTTCGTTATTGTTCTCTCTTTTGGGTAATAAAAACTAAATTATTCAAAAAAAAAAAAAGATAAAAGAATCTGTTGGACAAGGTGGTGGCTGTCCTATTAATTGGGCTTAGGGACATGTCCACTTGTGGGCTGTGGGCCCTTGATGAGGCTCAACATGACCTGGAAACTAGACATCCATCACTAAATCCAATCTTTGGACTAATAGCCGTTGATCTTATTAATCACATCTTCATCAATTTGACGATGCTGATGTGTCTACATCTCAATCAAGATAACAATATTTAAATCAATCTTATTAAGCATTCACCATTAATATTACCTCACGTAACCGTTAGCCCGAACCAAGTAGTTTGTGGTAAATGAATTATTGATATTCCGAGTTCTAGTATCATAGATATCAAGATTGTGAGTATTCAATGTTAAAAGATTGGGAGTTATCTTTGAGCAGATAATGTCTTGTATTTAACTCAAATTAATAAAAAAACTGAATCGATTAGGGATGGACATGAGATCCAAATTCGACAGGTTCCGACCTAACCTGAATCGATTGGACTCAAAAAGGTGGGTCAGGTTCGGGTCGGGTGAAAATGTATAACTTTCAAGTCCGATTCAAGTATGGTGGAGGATGTATAATTTTCGGGTTGGGTAGGGTGGACCAAAAATTCGACTTAACACAACTCATACTCATCCATCTTTTCGATTATCAACCGAAAATATTACGAAAATATAACATTTTAAATCACATTTGATCTAAAATATTATAATTTTTATCAAAATATATTATTGAGTCCATTTCCCACCTTCCCTTATTTTCCTATGTCTTTTTTCATTTGTCTAGGATGATAGTATTCAAACCCCATAGTTCAAGAGATAACAATAATAATTTAATATTAAAATTGATTGTTCGTACTATATTTTTCTTGTAGTTTTTTTTTTCATTAGGAATAAATTAGATATATATCACTTATATAAAAACTATTTTATAGGAATAAATTAGATATATCACTTATATAAAAACTATTATATATTTTTTTTTTATATTTTATTCTACAGGTTTTATTACAAGATCAGTACCATATTACAAACACAACCCAAAATTTAAATGACTCAATCTAGCCCAACAACCAGCAAGCCCAACAACCGAGGTCCAATTTCAAACTAGATCAGCCAAGTCTTTTAGGGTTTGTTTTCGAAACCCTAGGGTTTCCAGCAACTGCCACCCGCCGCCGCCAGTGAGCATACGAGCGCCACCGTCATCCGTTCGAGCTCCGATCACTGTGTTGGTCATTGTCAAGGGTCAGTCCCACCAATGTTTCATAACAATAAAAAATAAATAAAAACAGCAAAAAAAAAACTAGAGAAAAATCAGGACATTTAATGAAAGCAATCAAGACCTTCACCTACCCCGTTGGAAGCCATCCCCTGCTATGACCATACTCCTAAACCAACCATAAAAGGAAAGGGAGGAGGAAGAAAAAGGGATCCAGGTTCGAAAATAGAGAGGAAAATACCTTAAAAAATAAAAATAAAAACTCATTCGAAAAAAAAGGGAAATAGGAAAACTTTACCTCTCGGTTTCACAGATTCTTGATTCGTCAGAGTAGATGGGATATTCAGAACATCAAAGGCAGCTCATTTTCCTTCTGGGTTTTCGTTTCGAGAGAGTGTGAAGGGTTGAAATATGTTTAATGTTTGGTTGGTCTAGAGTTTTGAATGGATGTATTTTAGAGAGCCAAAAGGGGGTATCGGTTTCCCGCCGGAGCCATTTAAGAGGCGACTTGAGAGAATGTTTGCTTCCTCTCTCAGTTGAGAGAAGAAAAACAAGAGAAGGGAGAAAAAGGGGTGAATGGCGCTTGGGAGTGATTTTTTTTTTTTTTTGTTGAGAAAATTAGGGTTTTCTCAAGTTATAAAAAAAAGTATTTAACTTTCATCCAAAACGACGCCGTTTCTTCCCTTCTTCACCCGTGTTTTTAGTCTTTAGGGGTAAAAGGCAGTTTATGTCCTTCTCTCTTTGTAACATTCTGTTTTAATCCTGAAATGAAGTGGGCTATTGTTGGTTTCGAACTTTTAGGGTTATCATTATTACATTATAGTCATCATATGTTATTTAAATTTTATGGTTAAATGCTTTGGTTGGTTTGTTAATTTGATATTTGCTACATTTTATTCCTCTTGTTTGTTACGTTATAGCCAATTAGCCATTGATTGTCCTTGAATGATTCACAATATCTTCGGCTTGAAAACACACGTGGTGTTTGTTTTTTAAAAAAAAGATTTTCAAAGCTCTTATATATGTTTCGCGTAGACCACGCACAAATATTGGGTTTCGCAGCATTTATTTTTTTAGAATACAATAGCTCTGAAAACGTCTGCGCGTCTTCTTCTTGGTGCAAACGTGACCTTATGTCTTCAAAACTCTTCCAACCTCTTCAAAGAACATTAAAAATAAAACCCTTGCCTAACAACTTAGTTCTGCAACGGATCGAGAATATGACTCAGCTACGAGATGAAATTGTTGAGTAATTAATGTAAAATATGGATTGATTTATTTTAAAAAATTATTATTGTAGTTGTATGGATTATTTAAATTTCAGTATTGTAAAACTAAAACTTTTTAAATTTTAGTATTGCAAAACTCTTTTAAGTTTAAAAAATCAGTTTATTTATATTTCAGTTTATTTTAACAGTATGCATACGTTAAAAAACAAGCAGTCTTCTTCTTGCAGACTGCAGACTTTTAGTCTATCACTTCTGCTACAGATGCCTGTAAATGTGATCCGCAGACTGCAGATCTTCTACTTATGTAAAAATAAACAGCACCTAAAACCCACAAGCTCTGATTGAGCAACACCATCAACAACGCCATAAACAAATACGTCCTGTAATAACAAGGGGCAACCCATGTAGAGACAAACCCACAGCTAAAATCATAAAAAGGTATTCACCTTAGCAAGCAACTCCAAACCCTTCACCACGAACTCAAACACAACATCAATGGAAACAAGACTCGGCACCAAGCAAAGTACACAACTAAACAGCTAATACATAACTATTAACTACACCAAAACCTAAACCAAAGACCACCCAACAGTACGACCAGCAGAGAACAAAACCAATGACAACCTTTGACTTGGAAGTTTTGCTATTAACTAGAAATGCAAGCAAACTAGAACGACCAAAAAGCTGCTACCGAACTTGACCACGGAACTTTCATCACAACAGAATCAGCACCGAAGAGGATAGCAATTATAAAGAAATAGCATGCCACCGGCTCACACTGAACCTTCAAACCATTCTCATAACAACACGAGTGTGGACAGCAAGGAACATCGAGAAGGCTTCTCTGACACTTAGATTCATCACTAATAAGCGAAAACCAATCAAATCTCCAAGGTAAAATAAAGACCAACTTGAATCAGCTCATTAAAATTTAGCACTGCGACGCCTTACTCACCTCTTTAAATATCAGTGCAAAAGTTTTGGGGAAAGGCCACAATGCATAAATTGGAAATTGCTCTCATTATCAAGAACCTAGTATAAATGGCATACTCACAAGTAAGATGAAAACATCACATCCCATGAAACTAGTGAACCATTCAAATCAACTAACAATGTCATCACTGATATGTCTAGCTTCCATGTTGATAAAATCGGTGCTTGTAGCCCAAGAATCGACACCCAGATCTCCAAGAGATACCCGACACACAATCCATTCCTCTGTATATCCTCTTGGGCGCCAGACACCACTTCAACACAAACCAAACCTTTCAAACTAATAAAATTCAGGCTGGAGATTGAGTAATCCGCCTACAATCTTGCTTTGACCCAATTTTATTCACGTGTTTTGAATATACAAAGAGTAAAATGTTCAAGTGATCTTAGTTATAACTTCATCCATGGCCTCATTATTTACCTGGAAACAATCAAAATAGGCTTAATAGAAAAACAATGTCCGAACTTTGCTACGTTTTAATGCCTAAAGAATTTTTCGTTAAAAATATATGCATAACGATTTCTTCGTTGAATTTTTGTTAAATTTGACCATTAAAATGTCATTCTCTTGTCATTTGAGAATTTATTTATTTTTAAAAAAAAATATTAAAAGAAAACCAACAACCCCTTCTCCCTTCCCCTTTCATGGTCGTTGGCCGGCCAGCCATGACCGACACTGCCACCGTCATTAGATCCGACGTCGACCCCCGTTTGTCTTTCGTTGTAAACGGTCACCGTTTATCGTGAAGAAGCATTCAAATGTTCATTGGATTTTAAATCACCATCGCTGTTTTTCATCGATTCCGGCCGATCCAAACTTCCATAAGTTACACCGCCGCCACCATTCGAATCACCGTATAATTTTGTTCAAAACCCGTACTCGTCATCGCTCCGTCGGTGCTCCTCCAACGTTCAATCGTGGAGATGGTTAGGGATTTGGGGTTGAAACAAGAGATTTTAATTTGAGTTTTTTTATATAATTTAGTAAAAAATTGGACTTTTTTATAAATAATTTTCTTTGGGTTTTTTTAAAATTTTTAATTAAAAAATAATACTTTTATTATAAAAAAATTAAAATATATATATATATATATAACAATATACACCTAAAAGTATAACAGAGAGTTAGACATCAATTTTTGGTGAAAAATTCTTTAGGCACTAAAACGTCTTAACGTTTTTCAATGGTAAGTTCAATTACTTATTTTTCTATTAAGCCATCAAAATATCATTAATGCCGTCAATAAAGAAGGCAATATTAAACACTGATTAGTGATTGAACAGTTTAATTACGTGCTAATCGTCATTAGCAAAGCCAAATACAAGGCAAAAAATTCCGATTTACCAGAATCAAGTCAGATTACAGAGACTATAACAGCATTATACATAAACAAAAATCCCGATGATGGTTATCGAAACCATTCATCGACTTTGAGTCGGTGTTTCGGGTTAAAATGATAATATATACTATGATAATATAACAATGGTGTTTTTTATCTTCTCTGGATACGCAAGGTAGGGTTTGCTTCTGATAAATCTCAAACCTGGTGATTTTTAGAGGTGGATTTCAATGGATATTCTTCAGGCATACATGGAAGGCCTCATTCCTCTAGGATTGCACGTCCCAGATTCATGGCAAGTGCAAGTCTAACAGAGTTCAAGGCCTGGGTGGTAACTCGGATTCTACGAAATCCGGCCGAAGCCTTGCCATAGACAATCTTGTAGTTTAGTTAACAGAAGATTTGTCTGAGACACGTTCAACAAAGGACGATCCTTCCAATTAAGCAACTTCAACTGCAACAGAAAAAAAAAACAAAACAAAAACAATGGACGGTCGTCGGTCAAGCCATGCATGCTAATGAAAATACAAACAATCTGTAATAAGGTAGATGTAAAGAAATCCGTGCACGTCATTAGCTTACCGAATCATAAAGAAGAGGCAGGTAAAAGCGTTGAGGTGTAGAAGGGTTTTTCATAAGCTGTAGTAAAAACAAGCTTGCTCTTGTTATGATATTGACGATGATTAAAGTAAAAGATCAATAGGTGATAAATATGTACCGATATAAGAGATTCCACAGCCTGCCGAGCAGCATCTGTAGTTTTTTCCATCATAAACATGCAGAAGTGATTTCTTGAAGTCTCGATATCTGTGATGCGTCCAAGGTTAACTAACACCTTGGAATAATTCGACAGTAAGCAAAGACGGAAATTCTTACTTGTGCAGGAACTCTAGTCCACCAGCAGTCTTAGAATCCGAACCCAATAACTGAATTAACCCTTCCCATTGCTGTGAAGATAGAGGATGGACTAAGTCATATCCCATAGACTAGACACTTTCTGGATTTAAAAGATTATTTCTTGAAATGAAAAGTAACAAATGTGACAAGAAGAGATAGGAAACAGCTTTGTGCGTCGGAGGTTATCTATACAATCTACCTTGAAACTCTCATCAGATATTGATTTTCCAACTGAATCAAACAATTGCTGAGCTATCCTATTAAGACGATATTCATCCCGAGCTTGCTGAAGCCAAAACACTCCACAACCTTTCCGACCATGCTTCCAGTGGTGTACTCCAGCAATCTAAAGATGGACAGTGAGAATCCTTAACTGACATGCCATCAAATTCAATCATAATTTCTTACCACAAATTTATCAACAGGTTGTGAAACACAATTCCAAAACAATGCCAGGCTATATGTGTTTTCCACCACCAAAATTAAATGATGTTTTTTCAGATGCTTATACCTTCATAATATTTGAAGTTATGCTGCGGAGTTCGTAAAGGCGGCAAATCTCTATGCTCTGTGCAGAACACAAAATTGCATCAACAATAAACTAATTGATAAGCCCCAAAAAATTGAGGAAAGCAAAATGATAATGGAAAAGATGAGAAGCATAAGAAAAAGGAACCAATGACCTTCAGCATTAACTGATTATCTTGAACAGGCTGCTTGGACAATAATATCTGTAACAGAACCATCCCATGCTTCATGCATGATATAAGATAAATTGGAGCAATCTGTAGATATTAAAAGGAAAAAATATAAGACATATTTAATCAAAGTGCTAGCATTCCAATTAAAAATATATGTTTATCCACTGTAATAACAATAATGAGAAATAGCATTAGTTTACTCATTGCTACGAATCATATCCATTGAAGTTGGTTAAGTAGCACTCCATATTTTATTTCTAGCTTAGAAAGGTAAGCCTAAGCCACACAACGTATACACATATGCTAATGAAGTAATCCACACAATTATTTGCACTCACTTGCCAAGTTAGTGGATGTGAGGATAGAACTTGAGCATAAATAAGTCGATGAAGCTCCTCTATGCTTATTCCCCCCAAGTTCTGACGCTCTTCATGTAAAAGCATTTCTGCATGGTCACTCCTAGCAGTTAATAACTCCATGGCATGCGCAACCATCCTGATGATAAGCAACATATAGAGATAGATCTTAATGACTGCAAAGGAAAATCCAATCTTTAATATCATGATAACTTCTCATAGTTTACCGGACCAAACATATTTTGAAACAATAATACCCCAAATAAGGCTCCAAAACTGCAATACTAACAAACAGAAGGATATAAAGATGGATATATGACAGCTCACCAAGGACCAAATCCTTTCGAGCATTCTGCTAAAACAACCTGAGAGTCAACAAAACACAATTTAACTTGAGGATGAGGAACCAAAAAGAGAATTAATTAATATTCTATCCCCATCTGTCACCTCAGTATTTTCCCCAATAATTCCTATTATAAGCCCCATCAACCTATGTGCAGAGGCCATTGGTTTCAATTGAATGCTTTTCTGTGCCAAGCCGTACATGCTTTCTAACCCCTAACAGAAGAAAAGAAATCAAGTGATTATTTCAGAGTCCAGCTAACATGTTAAATGCTACAAGATACATAATACATGGAAGGTACATACCACTGTTAATGGCCGATGTATAGCAAGTGAGAAATATACAGCTCTATCCAATGGAATGTTGCAGAGCAGAGACTATTAGCATTACCCAGCATTATTTGTAACATACTTCTCAAGCCCTCCCGAGTCTGCTGATGAGCACACTGAAACCAGAATGCACTTGAATCCAGTTTACTTATCTGTCCACGCCATTTCTCCCATGCCTATACTTGAGAAAGAATTGAATTACTTATCTTTGGACGTAGTGGGTTGTGAAGCAGAATGAGAGAACACGCGCACTGTAAGAATTTAAGATACCTTCACAAAATCAGGCTTGGCCTTAAAGCATTCACCCAATTTCCCAGCTTCTTGATCCAATCGCATTCGTGGCATTTTTGAAATGAGAACAGCAACTGCCTCTACAAGTCCATTCTCTGTCTGTTGGTGTATAGGAAAAAGAGGCATCAAATTCATATTTTTCAGTTTCTTATAGCAACAATATCCTGATCTCACTTTACATGGACAAAACACGTTAGTGAAAGTGAGTGGAAGAAAACTTTGACGCATAAAAATGCAAAGATATGGAAATACTTCAGTTCAAACCAGCAAAAAACAGAACTAGCATAACAGAAATTGCTTCCAAGTTACAACATATTTTAGTCAAATAACTGAATGAAGATTTACACAAACCTCTTAACTACAATATAATGGTTCAACAATACCAAAGGTAAATAGAGCTACATCTTTCAGATGCAATGCATAACAATCTATCTCGTACCAACCTCACGATTGCTGAGTTGATCGAATCGATAAGATCCATGCAAACGCAGCATCTTAACCTGAATGTGAAAATATAAAAATGCATCCAATCATAGAATGATAGAATTCCACCCAAAAGAAGAAAATAACCTATCATGCTTTCAAATTTTTAAGCTATAAACTCATTTTATATTATCAAACACATACCACAATATCCAGCCAACCAACAGCTAATGCTGATGATATAACTTCCCAGTATTTGGGATCATCTTCCACAACCTACATTGATATGATGAATGCAAAAGAGTAAAAATCAGTCGAACAACTCAAAAGCCCAGATTCTAAAACTGTGTAAGTACCATATAAAGAAGTTAAATTGACAAGGAAAACTAGAAGGTTAACTATTCAGAACCTGCAAGTTTACAAGGTCTTTTTGAAAATCAACAAGCTTTGAGTGCACTGTTGGGTGTGTTCCCGAGAAAAGGCTATCATAATCCTGACAAGACACAAATTGCTTATTAGTAAACAACTTTTAAACCGAAGTAATGTAAAACTTGATGGATGCAGTAGCGGTAAAAAAAGGGTAGGAGATTTACAGCTAACCAATCAACAAAGCGTTCAGGTAACCATGAATGAGATGGATTTTCTGCATAAAACATTTCCAATAGCTCCCACGCAGCCTTTAAACTAGTCGGTTCCTCTCCTTTCTGGGGGGGGGGGGAGGCAATTTGAAACCAAACGAAATTACAATTAGACTAAAGCTTTCTAGCTTAGCCATTAAATTAACACATTTTCTATTCTCCCTGGTTTCTATTCAAAACAAAAATTCCCACCCAAAAAGAAGAAGAAAAGAGGAAATTACATTTATGACTGACTTTGGGTCGTCAATAAGCGGAACTGAAGCAGATATCTGGCTACCAAGAAGGGCATTTATGTCTTTGCTGTATTCCATTATGTAATCCCACCTGAACACAATGTTTTTCAGAGCAAAAGAAAATAAGTTTCAAATACATTTGATATCAAATTGAAAATTCGAAAATTAATTACCAGTCAGCATCGTATGGTGAATTCATGGACATTTTCGACAAGCTAGAGACAGCATTTTTCCTGCTTTGGAGTAGAGCGAAAGGAGAGACCGAATCGTAGGCGATCCTCCGCCAATGAGCGTCGCTGATCTCGCCGTCTCCGCCGAGCTTCACTTCCACTACTTTTCCTCCTGCATCGTCTTCGACGGAGTCTCCGGATGGAGGGGAAGCGAAAACCGATACGCGGAGGGAGTTGCCGCGAGACCAAGAGATGGAGAGTCTAGAGATAGGATACTTGAGGCCATGGTGGAGAGGATACACCGCCGCAACTTGGGACTCCGGTGAAATCGGAACTAGAGCGCCGCCGCCGTAATCTGACGAGGCGCTGGCCATTTCTTTTTGCCGATAAATCAGTGAGTGAGTGTGACTCTCGAAGCGTTTAGGGTTTTGGATGGGGTTTGCAAATGTTGAATTGTTGAGGAAGGAGGATTAATTTGACTTGTGTTTGATTAAGAGGCAAAAACATTAGATATACATGCTATCAAAAACATAAATAAATATGAGCTAATATAAAATATAATATTTTATATTATTTAAATTTATTCTGTTATAAAATATAGATCTCACATTTTATTCAGATGATTAATTAAAGTTTGTTCCATGATCAATTATGTAATTATTATTAAGTTTAATGTTATTTTTTACTATAGTAGACTCAATATATCATTTTTTATCATTATTATATTTCACTTTAATTTAACTCTTAAATTTATTTAATTGTATTATTTTATATCATACCTCTAACTTAGAACCTTAAATTATAAATCCAAGTTAAGGTTTAACGTTTATGGCTTAGATGTGAGGTTGGATTAGGGTTTAGGGTTTAAGGTTTAAAAGTAAGATTATGGTTTAGGGTTTTAAGTTAGGATAGAGTATAGAATGATGTAATCGAGTAAATTTGATGGTTAAATTGATGTGAAAATACAATAGGAACGAAATTGATAAATTAGGTATACTGTAATGATAAAAGTTACCTTTTTACCTTTAAAGACATATTATTATTAATGTAGTATTTAATTTTTTGTATAAATTATCAAGACGCTTAACTATTAAATTTAGCACATTTATTAATAAATATGATGTACATTTATTCATATTTTATTAGCACATTGCTTCTTCTTTTTTTGTACACCCACACGACCCTAATATCGAATGAATTATACATCAATTATCTCTAAGAATATTGCATATACACAATTTATAGTTAAAAACATATATAGTGCATAATTAATATTTTTTCAATCCTAAAAGTAAGAACGTAAAACAAACCATCCACCACAAATGCTGCTACCACAGTTAGCACCGCCGCCCTCAGCCTCGTCTCGGCCGATATAAGCAGCCAAATTTAGATACTTCTCTTGATCACTACTCCACCTTGTACGACAAAGCACACAATTAGCCGACCTCCTCCCACGGCTCCTCTTCCACCTCATCAAACATTCTTCATGAATCAAGTTCCAACACGTGGAACAAGACGCCACCATGTCTCATTTCTGTATTTCCTCCAAGCAAACGGGACACACCGTTCCTTCTTCGATCTCCTTAACATCACCCGACCTACCATGCTTCTTCCTATCGGAGAGAAGCTGATGGAACCTCTCGCATAGACCGGCCCCCACTAATGCCTCCGGCTACTTGGACGTCCCGAGAAGACGACTCAACCGACACGGCCGGAGAGCCGCCTCCGGAGACACGTGTCGTCCACCGAGATGCCAATGCCCGGATCAAAACAAACAATATGTGTTTGCATGGGATTGCACGGTCGGGGCACGTGCACGTAGGGGTCAAAGATAACGTCACGGTATAAACATTCCCCGTTGCACCTAAGACGAAGAAGTTGGAATCCGATCTATGGAGGACGGAGAGCGGGTGACGGAGCGCTCAAGCTATCCATTCGATGACGGGTTGCGTCGGTTTGAACCGGGGATGTGGCCGGTTGGGTCGTGGGGTCGTCGATGACGAAGAAAAAGAAGAAACGGGATCCATATGATTGAATTATATAAGGAATAATGAAGGCAAAGATGTGGTGTTTTAAGAGACTTGTTATTGGGTGAGGTTCTTTGAGGGGAAATTGAAGGACAAGAGAAGAATACCGACCATGGCCTATTGTGCTTTCTAAAGGTTGATTATGGATCAAGTTAAAGGCACGAAATGGTCGAAAACGTTAGGCTGAGGGTAAATGGTTCAACATGCTTTAATGGAAAAATCCAAAGGTCAAATTATGGTTTTAGCCCCTCTATTATACTCAAATTTGAAATCTATCCTCCATAGTTAAAAACCGGAAGTTTATTTAATAGAAACAGCACTCGCTTGGAATATTTAATTCTTCAATTACTACAAACCACTTCACCACAATACACACACTAAGCTTATTCTACTAAAGCTCACTACTTTATTCAACTTATTATCACCATATAATATTCTTCCATGAAATCTCAAGTGATCTCTCAATTTAGGCAGATACACGAGCATTTTTCTGCAGAGATTTTCCTGTTCGCAGATTCTTGAGTCTGAGCTTCGTTGTCCGAGTAAAATCGAAAAATATGATCATCTCTCGGCTCGAAATCCTTGACGAAAGATTTTCCGGCTCCCACGGATTCCGTCGATTTGACCGTTTCCGCCATCGGCTTCTCCTTCATCTCATCATGACAGTCTTGGCCTGGCACTTTTCTTGCTACAATAGTTGCAGCAAACTGCATGATGGTCATAACAATTGAGAGATTATTTTTAATTATATGTTCAAATTAATTCAACTTGATCTTCAAACAAAAACTTAAAGAACAAAAAATAATGAGAATACAACGTACCAACAGAATTATTGCCAAGAATTCATGATAGTGGAGAAAGCAAATAGCCTTTTTCACTATGAATGGTAATGCAACTCTTCAAGGATAGCTTGGCTGCCACTTCATAAATTTAAAGGACGAAAGATATCAATTAAAATAGGCTAAAAATGTGATTCCAATCCCCGTATTCTTGCATATTTAGAGTTTAGTCCTCTACTGTATTTTTTTGAATAATTTGTGGTAAGTACAAGGTACTATTATTTGTTCAAAAATAACTCTCAACCATTTGACAATGCATGCTCACACCCCTGACATTCCTGATACTCAAATTCCGGACTTCAAGGAATAACAACAATTCCTTTACCACCGAGGTTGTTTGGTTTGTGCCTTTTGTATATTTAAAATTGAAGGCTTAATACAATTTTAGGTGCCTCAATTATAACTCAAATTAATTTTTTGGTGCCTAAAGAATTTTTTTGTTAAAAATAGGTGTCTAATGTTTTCTCTATTATACTTTTAGGTGTCTACCGTTAAAAAAATTGTTAAGTGACACACGTACGTTTATACTTTTTAATTTTTAATAAATATGTTTTAAAAATATTTTTTTAAAAAAAAGTATGAACGTGTGACATGTGTCGCTTAACGATTTTTTTTCAACGGTAGGCACTTATTCTTTTAAAAAATACTTAAACACCAAAAGTTAATTTAAGATCTAGTTTAAACACCTAAAATGTATAAGCCAAAATTGAAACAATGGTATTAAAAGAAAATGAAACACTGAAACAACCGAGGGAAGTTAAGTGATGGATAATTTACATTCCTTAAATTTAACTTCAATTTTGGCCGTGAAATCTTCATCAAAGTAGTTGGTTAGTCAATCCCAACTTATCTTATGGGCTGTTACTTACTTCCACAGGGTTTAGTGGATGAGATCGTCCGAGCCTTTCGTGATTATTGGTGGTCGAGGCATCCATCGGAACGAGGTTGGCCTCTCTTAGCTTGGTCTACACTATGCACAGCGGTTCGAGTAGGAGGCTTTCGTGATTATTGGTGCTCGGGGCATCCATCTGAACGAGGTTGGCCTCTCTTAGCTTGGTCTACACTATGCAATCCGGTTCGAGTAGGAGGGCGTGGATTCCGGGATCTACAGGGTTTTAATCTAGCTTTGCTTGGTCGAATCATTTGGCGTTTTCTCCATCCCGATCTGCTTTTTACCAGTGTATATGCATGGAGCCCACTAATGGCCTCCTTAGGGTCTAGACCCTCATATGCATGGAGGAGTTTGCAAGCAACAATGATTAGATTACAATACTACAGCAAAATAAATTTTTAATGACGTTTTTTAATCCTATAAAGGTGTTTTTAAGCGCCGCTAAAAACATTATCGCTAGTAAAAGCGCCGAATGAAACGACTATAAAACCAACGCTATAATAAAAATATCAAGCTAATGTAGAATTAATTTTACACCAACTTGTAAAAAGTTCAAAAATATATTTTTAAATTTAGGGTAAATTATGAATTTAATACCTAAACTATTATTTTGGTTTGCTTTAGTACCTAAAGTTTCAAATTTTTTTCAAGATCATACCTAAAGTTTAGTTATTGTTTCATTTTAGTATCATGTCGTTACAAACTTTAGTTTTTGTTTTATTTTAGTATCTCATTCAAAATTTAACGCTAAGTTTTTAAAATTTTGAAAGTTTAGGTAACTAAAACAGACCAAATCTGATTTTTTTAATTGCTAAATGTGTTATGTTTTTAACGGCAGGATACTAAACTGAAATGAAAACTAAACGTTATGTATGCTTTTTGAAAATTGAAAGGTTAGGTACTAAAACATACCAAAATTGATAGTTTAAGTACTAAATGCATAGTTAACCCTTAAATTTATTTACTCACTTCACAACCAAAAATTGAGCAACTAAAATTTGCATTACTCTTTGTTGAGTGACTTTTTAAAATATGGTGACCCAACTATAAATTCACTAATTGTCAACATTTCGGCATGGATTGTCATGGATGGGCATGGGTCGGGTTTCCGGCTAACATGACCCAACCCAACAAATTTATATCTCCATCCAAATCCAACTTGACTCAAGTTTAGAGTAATTTTACTCGGTCTGACTTTTGAGATAAAATCCGATTCTGACCGGACTTTGGCCTGAAATAATATAAAATTATTAATTTTATTTAATAAATAGAGACTTAATTAAAAAAATAATATAAAAGGGGTATTCTTAAAATTATCCTTGAATATATAAGTTATTTTATATTATTTTTCGGGTCGGGTCGAATCAAATTTTTTCACCCTAAACACAAATCTGACCCGAACCTATTCTCTAAAAAATCAACTCGATCTTACATGGATGTATTCTCTAAAAGAACCCAACTCGACCCAAAATTTTTTTAAAATCCAACCCGATCATATCGGGTCAAGTTAAAACCCATGCCCATCCCTGGTTCTCCCGACTTTCGTGGGCTATACGGCCCAAACATATTACTAATTTCCCATTTAAAAGAAAAACACATAAGCACTTACTAATGACTCAATTAGCTAATTAATCAAAATCACTAAGCAAACACAGGTGGGCCCCACTAACTTGATAATTTATTCATAAATATATACACCTCTTAAAGTGCCAACCCGGATTATTC